TCAGTCTGAATGAAGCCCTCAGAGTAAGAGGAGAAGCCCTCAACCTCGTTATGGGAACTTATAGTGGACGTTCACGGAGTCATGGATACGGAAATGGGAGCGACCCGATTGGACAGCTTTAAAAAGACTTCTAGAGTGGTTGAATATCAGTTGTGAACTGGCTGTTTTTAAATGGAAATATAGTCTAGGAAGAGAGGGAAGCCCAGAACCTCTAGGAGCATTTTGTGCAAATACCCATGAAAGGAAGGGGCTATGAGAGGATTATTTAAATTTTAGTCTCAAAAGTCTTTAACTCTGCCAAGCAGAGAAGTATTTAAATATGTGTCTCATAAATGTGGCTGATTTTCTTTTTTATCGAATGAACTGTGCAAATGTTTCTTTATTAAAATTCTCATTTGACTAGCTACATTATTGTCCAAGAGTTTGGGGTTGGTAAGATTTTAATGTTTTTGAAAGAAGCCTCTTGTGTTCACCAAGGCTGCATTTATTTGAGTAAAAATACTGTTAAAAAAATAAGTAATATTGTAAAATATTATTACAATTTAAAATACCTGTTTTCTAGTTTAATCAATTTATAAATATTTTATATTGTATTCCTGTGATAGCAAGCAGCCATTACACCAGTCTTCAGTGTCACATGATCAAATATGCTAATTTGTATCAAACCTTGATGTATTTTTCTAAGTCTAAAAAAACAGCATTTATTTGAAATAGAAATATTTTATGCAACAAATGTTTTGCGTGTCACTTTTTATATTTATGCATCGTTGCTGAATAAAAGTATTCATTTCTTAAAACTAAAATCTTACTTACCCCAGACTTTTGAACACTAGTGTTTGCGATCTGCAGATAATATCTCCAAAACCTAGCAAGCATTTCAAGATATCATAGCCATTTAGGCAGGAAATATAATTATTCTGGTTTTTATTATAACTTTGTTTTAACTTGAAATGTATCATGGATGGAAAAGGCCATTTCAAAAAGCAGTACGGTAATCTCAAGTGATGTTAATTTAAAAATGTATATTTTAAAAATCTAAAAGTTTGAGTTTTTTTAATATAATTAAAACTTTCAAGTATGGCAGCTATTTGGATGGTTATA